TCTTTTGTTGATCTTCTGTGTTTTGCCTATAGGCTATTGCTCTGCTGGATAGATTGATATTGTGACCTCGGTGATGAGTGTCTGTGTTTTCCTTATACCCCCCCCATCCCCCCTCTCTCTCTATCGGAACCATGGATAGCCTACAGCTATTTGTTTACGTGTTTAAAAAAGCACCAGAAGCTTATATATACACATCTAAGTTGTTCGTGCCCCTCCACTTTTGTACATATAAAAACGCCACTGGCACTTTCATGCATGAAGTCCTGACACATGGCTTGAGAGCTCAGGAAAAAAGGCTCTTTTCTTCCTTCAGAGGTAAATGAGGCAGGGAAGCTCCGGCAGCCTCCGACAGACAAGCTCATTTGTATCAGTTCATTCTGCCTTTAGAGAGAAACCAGCAACAAGATAGCAGATAGAAAGAGAGAAATGATTGATGCTGAATAAACAACACTCAAAAAAACATTCATTGGAATAAAAAGCCCTTCACACCCACTTTCAACCACTACAGCATTGTGCATTAAAAAGTGCCAAAAACCAAGATCAATACTGCTATTCTCTCTGAAATACCAAAGTGTTTGCCAAACCACGTTAGCTGAAAGTGATAGGGAGGGCATTACGAATAATGCAGCTGCTAGCCATTAGCTTCCAGGGCAGACGGGGAGAACAATAGGGCCTGCAATCAATTCATTATTACTTCCTCTGCCGGCCGCAAGCTATCCCCGAAGGATCTTTTCACACTCTGGTATGATCCTAAACACCCTGCAAGTCGATTCCCTCCCCTCCACCCATTCCCGGTCCGAGGGTCATCTTCAGTCAACCTTCTCGTCTTGCTTCACCATTGACCCATCGTAAGTACCCTCTAGGGTGGATCTGTGGTAATTTGATGTCTCTTTTCTTGCCTTTTACACAAGAGTGAGCAGTAGCTGGATGGATTTACTGGGCTAATTAAGATACAGAAATATTACTGAGGGAAATACTGGAAAGCACCTGCTTAGGCCAGGCTGGGTATCTATGGCTAAAATGGCCTTAATTTACCAATGTATAACTTTGCACTGTGAAACTATATTCTGATCTAAGAGTGCATGTTTGAAATCACACATTACCATAAATTAAAGGGATAACAACACTATATTTAATGATGTGGTATTCATGTGGGAGGGATGAGGAGCAGAGGAGCTGTGTTTCCAATGCTGCATGTGTTTGGGGTTGTATAGCAACAACTGCAGGGTGACTGACTCTGCCACTCTTGCGGGATATCGGTCTGCTGCCAAGTCCCTCCTGATTTGGCTGTAATTAACCAGGCTGAGCCTTGTTTGTGCATGTGGACATGAATAGTAGCTTGTTATTTGAAAATGAATGGCTTTGTGTGTATGTGCATGCGTGTGTGTTATGTACAGCTCATAGTTCACCTTGGAACAGCGCCTCAGCAGCTGTGTGTCCTCTGGAGCAATGTTTATGTTTATGTCAATACATCCTCCTGTAATCATGTTTTAGGATGTCCCTGACTCACAGTTTTCCAGGAACAGACATGTGATGTCTGTATCTGTCAACACATGTGCCAACTCACCTTTCACTGTAACGATTAGCTGTTTCCCTTTTCTTTGTATAAAAAGTTTCAGATTGGAGGTCATGCAAGTATACTAGCTCTGCCAAAAAGGAGAAGAGAGTGAGGTCATAGCTGAAGAAAGTCTTTAATGATTTGACCTTGGTGTCTCTCCTTGCTAGGACAAAAGTTCACCTGCAAAATGAAGGAACAGCGAACAGTATACAGAGAACATGTTAAACCCATTTGCCATCCATTAAAAGTTGATTTATTCCAGTGCTACTACGTACATTATGCATCATGTGGCAGTGTACACAGAACAATGATTGGGTTACATTTCTTCACTTTTTGGGGTTTTTGTTCAGTAGAAGTGTGTTTTGATTCCTGCTCTACGAGAAAAGCCTACTTTTCAGGATAATTAAAAAGACTCTGGGATGCGTTTATCACTTTGACTCATCTACCATCATCAGAATAACATCATGAATGTCCCTCACTTTACTACAAAATACTGTGCATTTTTTATTTCCTAGTGGAGAAAAATTGGGTCACTATTAGATATTGGAATGGTGTTTTGGCAGGACTTAGTTGGTGACAGGATAAGGAGTGCAGAAGAAAACCAACTTCTACAACAGGGTTAAAAAACAGAACCTGATTGTACCTCCATTAGCAGAAAAAAAAGGTGAAATTAATAAAATAAAATATTTTTATAATATGTCATTTCCTTTCTAGATGTTTATTCTACTGCATATTTGCAACCTGCTGTGTGGGCTCCCGGCTACCTTCACCCCTGCGGCTCACCATTCGGCCCGTTTGTTCGACATCTACAATGAGGTCATATTTACAGGACACCCACTCTTGCTCTTCACAAACCCCCTCAAACCCCCCCGGGCCAAACGAACGTCTGTCAGTAAATGAGCTACTGTTCTCATCTTTCCCATTTTTTCCCCCAGCTACTCTCGCCCCGGCTGATGAAGGATGAACTCCTTAACACCAGTACTGTTACGTCTCTGGGGATGACACTCCAGCATCTGCGATCCTTTCTGGTGTAACTGAATATTACACACTGAGTGCAACATGAAACATGACCTGAGGGTTCCCCTGCTTCTTCCTGTTTTTGTTTTTTTCATTCAAACCTCTAAAAGGTCATTTGGGAAGCCTATTTGTGTTTGGGGGGCTGAAGTTGTTAATGATGACAGACGACAAACGCAAGGCTAAATATTCAATGCAATGATAAGGTGGAGACCTGTGATACATAAAAGGCAGGTAAGGTCAAAATCAAGCAGACAGTCTTACGTTAGCCGTCCTGACTCAATGGATGACACTGACTGAAACAGTCCATGATCGAAACAGAGACTGCTATGGCATAAAAGATCCTTCTATATTGGGAGGATGGAGTGTAGCACTGTAAGAGAAGTGGCTGGAGGTGGGGGCAGTAAAGAGTCATGCTTCATCAACTCAAGTTGAAAGGAAAAAAGCTAATAGTCATGCTTGATTAAGATCCACTCGTAGCAACCTGAATGTGTTCTTAAATGAAGTGCTCTTCGGCCTGTCCAGAGCCTGTGGGAGAATGACCTCGCTCACGGGTTAGACATTGCCCCAATTCAAATCGTAGCATCTTGGAAATAGTTAAGATCCAGCGAAAAATATGATCCTATTTGTCTATTAGCTTAAAGGTAGGGTAGGTAAGTTTGAGAAACCGGCTCGAGATCGCTAGAATTTGAAAATACACAACCGGAGAAAATCTCCCACTTCCTTATAGAGCCCCTCCTCCAACACACACGAACGCGCACATGACCAATGAGGGCACGAGATAAGTGTGTGCACAGATGGAAGGCTGACAGGCAGGTAGGCCATCCAGTTATTTTAGCCGGGCCGGCTAAAATGATTGGTCGTACTTTTTACAGTATTACGTCTTCCACAGATGACATTTTTTTATGGATTTTTTGTCAAAGCACTTAAGATATTCATTGCTATCGGGATGTTAAGAGCATTCCGTGGAATATAACGAAAAGTGTATCTCGAGCCGGTTTCTCAAACTTACCTACCCTACCTTTAAGGGGTCATAAAGACTCTGTTTTAGCTCCAACATCCTTTTACGTATGCAAGTTATCTACCATTCAAACTACTTTAGGACAGCATGCTAGCCCACTAACCCGCTGACTTCCTGATCTGCCTTTTATATGTTCTCTGGAAAAAATTGCTTAAAACATCCTAAATATTTATCATCAAAAAGTAATGTATAACTAAGATTAATCATTCACCATGCCTCTCAAATTTAAAATGTTTTAATCGTATCCTCTATCCTAGTCAATGTGTAATAATGTCTTTTAAAAAGACACCACAGTGGCCTAATACTGTAATGTTAGAGGAATAGTTGGAAAATAAGCTAATTCACTTGATTGCTCATTGAGTTAGATGAAAAGATTGACAGCACTCTTTCGGTAAATAAGAAGCTACCAACAGAAGTCGCTAGCTCATTTTAGTAAAATGGCAAAAGTATAAAAACAGATGCTTCTGTATAAGGGTATTACAATAAACTTACAAGCTCCTGAAAATCACTTATTAACATTTCATGTTTGTTTAATCCGTACAAAAACCGAAGTACGAACATGTTGAGAACACGCAGTAGCCAAGGCAACCAGCAGAAACTCCAGGAAGTGACCATTTCATTTCAGTTTTCTGTAGGGATTAAACAACCAATGAACATTGTTTTAATTTATAAAGAGCTAGGAATACTGTTCTCCTTGTTTCTAGTCTTGACCACAAGCTCAGTTTAGCTAAGCTAAGCTAACCAGCTTCTATCAGTAGCTTCATATTTACACTGTTGTATCAATCTTTGCATCAAACACTTGGCTAGAAAATGAATAAATGTATTTCCCAAAACTATTCTTTTAAGTTTGCAGAGGGACCCTTTCATCCAAGTTTCTTCAGCACTTTTATTTGTATCCTTTTATAATAGCGATGAATTCTTCACCTCATATTTTCAACAGGGAATGCATTACAGAATCACATTACTGCAACTCTCTAGGTTCTGCAACTCTAAAAACCCTAGGTATCCTAGTAAAACATGTTTTGTAAAAGAAAGGAAAGAAAGGCAACCCAAACTAAATTAAACGTAATAAAAGTCTAAATAAAATCATCAAGCCATCCGAGGAAGAATGTGCTCCACTGCCATTGTTGCACATACCCATGCAGACCAGTGATGTGAGCCTGTGTGGCCGCACATACCGGCAGACCTCAAGCCATGCCATCATCTGAAGACCACAGGACGCTCTAATTAGGGGTGGTGAGAAAGGTAGACTACTACATATTTCATCGTTGTATTAGTGTGCAGCATTGAGCTAAAAGTGAACTCTGACTCACAAATATTCTCTCAGACTGTCTCCCTTTTGCTTTAGTCTCTGAACTTTTTCTTAACCCACGGTGTTAGTAGAAATAGAAATAAAAAAATTCAAAACATTTAGAGTTGCTGTGTAATGGAGGCAATGTTATGCATTACATTAAGACATTTTCTTTAAATTTTTGGAGGAATGTATCTGAAAAAGGAATGCAATGCTGTATTCAGACTGTTAACATCGTAAAAAAGCTCTGAAATTAGTAATTAAATAACCCTCTACTATTTATACATTCAGGCACTGAAAAATCACATGTCAATATGTAACTAAAAAAGATAGTCGCTCTCATTTTCCCTTGGTAAGAACAAGGAAGCTGAAACCTTGAAGTTGGCAACTGTGTACATTTTCCTACCCAGTAGTAATGCCATATGCATCCCCTTTGCTCTTTGTTTGTGTGACAGTTTCCCCTCCCCCTTAAGTGCATTTTCAAACACTGACCTGAAGCCAGAGCTTTCGAAGCCTTATCTAAAGCTTTCACCCTACATATGGGAAAGAATCCATGACACTAGTCTTTTGAAAGGGAAATCCAATGGTTTGTCACAGGACAAACAGATAGACGGACGGATGGGTGGACGGATGTCCTCCATGGCCTCAGAGGGCCAGCAGGTGAGCCGAGGCTCTCGTCTCCACAGACCAACTTCCCCCCTCGTGGTTAAGGACTCTCCGGTGTGATAGCCAGCTCTCACCCCAGCGACCCTGAACTCATTCATTTTTTAACTATACAAGGGCTTTTACAAAAAAGCTAACTTGAACAGCCATACAATGGCTAAAACATAAACCATATCTCTACTTTATCTCGGTTTTTCAGTCATTTTTCATTTTTTTCCCTTTCTCTTTTTCTTTTTTTTTATGCATTTGTGTTTTTTCTCGATTGAAGTCTTTGTTTGCTTTTTCTTTATTCTTTTGGAGTAGCTCTGATCCTGTCCTGTGCTGAGTCGCCCAGTCACAGAGGAATTGGTATTTGGATGTGATGTGGGGGGGAAGGGGAGAGAAGATGGATGGGAGGGAGAGAATAAGGGCAAGGATCAGGTCAGAGGTCAAGATATGGGTTCATTATCAGTCCAGACGTGGACTCGCCAGCGGTTACATGGGCAGCTTTGGATAGGAGTGAGGTGGCGAGATGGTTTGGGAAAGGTGAGGCCCGTCGGGTTGGTCAAGGTTATCCGCTATCAGAGGATGTGTGTGGTGCTGTGGAGGGAGAGCGCCGCCTGCGGGCGGTGGAAGTCCACGACCGCTCAGAGCGTTCAGAGCGCTCAGAGGCTAGTGAGGCGGGCCGAAAGCGGTGAACAAAGCCGTCCAGGAATTCCTGCTGCTGCTGGGTTATGGCTTGGGAGATGAGGCAGGGCAGAGCCTGCAGGCTGCCCGTCACCGAGTCCAGCTTGTCCTCCAACGTGCCGATGCGCTTGTCCAGCTCCTCACTGCGCTCCTGCAGCTCTGACACCAGGTCATACATCACATTCTGGGTCTAATGAAGGAGAGAGAGTAAATGTGTTTGGGGAGGTGCAGGAACAGGAAGACAGAGGGAAGAAGAGGAGGGCCGGGGGGGTTAGAGGAGGATAACTTAATAAACACAAGTAAAGATGCAACCAATTTTATTTATACCCCTTTTCCTTTTTAAGCACAAAAAACCTGATAAAAGAATCCATGGACTCTTGCCTCATTGCCAGTAAAGAAGTAGGTCTTCCTTTTGTAAGTTCAGCCGTGTCAAGTTCTGAATTAGGGATGTGACAGCCTCCACTTGAAGCATGTTAGTAAATAGCTCTAGGTTAGGGTCTCTTTAAACTCTTAACCCAGAGTTTTTTGTTTTATGCCAGGTTTGTATGAGGTGTTTATAATATTATGCAGCAAATTAATCAACTGTTTCTCAATGGAGTCTGGTGGCTTTAAGGAAATTATACTAATTGTATGTTCAACAAATTATAATAATTCTATAAATCTTGTTTGTTTGTAATGTTTTCGTCACTGCAACTGGAAGGGGAGCCGACGAATACCTTTGACGACTGCTGAGCCGGTAATAATTGCTGATTGTAACCTTTCCCACGGTAGACAAAAGCCAGATGTTAGCGGGTGATACTGGGTATTTTGTCCATTGGAAAATGGGCTTAACAGGATGTGCAGTATGTGCACATTGGCTGGGGAAAATCTTCACGTCTTAAATAACCCAAGTAGCCAGTCTAAATCTGACTTACTCAGTCTGAAGAGGAGGGAATAATGACAGGAAGCAGGGTGAAGGGGTAGCTGTATACTTTCAGCAAGTCAGCATTGATTTTATCTTCCCACCGTTTCCCTACCAGCTTCTCCAATCCATTTATAACCGGAGAAGGTCTTAAATGCTTTATGTATGCACTTGACACAAATCATTCATATAATGAAAAGAGTCTCTATTATTTAGGAACTTATTGTTCCACAGTGGACGCATCAGGGCCCACGTCGGTTAATGTATTTGCTATCTGCATGTTATTATTCTACTCAGACTATGCCAATATTGTATGATATAAAATGTATATAAAGCTTATAAATGTGTATTATTTATGACAAAGTAATTACCATATGTCATACAATGTAATGGTCCCCAGTTAAGAGTGTGAAGGCCTCTTACAATCATTAGTAAATGATTCCCGACTTGTGTTTAAGCCAGAAATAAAAGGGTTACTTCACCATAGAGCTTAACAAAGAGTCATTGAGCCGTTAAACTACTGTAGGGTGAGCAGAGATGGATCTGACCATCGACCAGAGTAAGGGCAAGTCAACACACATTAAAGGAGTTGGCCTTAGAACCTTTTAAAATACACACTGCAAATGCCATCCACATCAAATGAGGCTGCGGTCAGGCACCTCCCTTTGAACCCCCTCTCTGCTCTGGTGGGTCAGCTGACGCCTCTACAGCAAAACAGAAGCTACCTCGCTGCATTCACCCTCCGACAGACACATAGTGATCACAGTGTTGGGCTAGGATCTGGATTCTCAAACTCCTCAAACAGCCAGAAGATAGATGTTTCGGCAACAGGAATCTTATCTGTGTTGAGTTTGTGTTCAGTTATCTGACAAATACTTGGATATTTGTCAAAAGAGAGAAACCTTTCTTTATACTTCTGGATTTTCTTTTCATTATTGTCTCCAGTGATTTTAAAGCTCTTTATTATTAAAAGGATAGTTCAGATGTTTGGGGTTGTATACAGTAATACTTAACACAGGAAATGAAGCTATGCTCTAGTTCAGGGGTGGGGAACCTTTTTCCTCTCAAGGGCCATTTCAATTTTTTCAACATCCTCCGAGGACCGTACAAATTATTGACCTCTGCTTAAAAATACTAAAATCACAGCCCATTCATTTTGCCTTTCTTTCATGCTGTGCAAAGAAAAAGCAACCTCTAAATCCAGATATCTTACCATGACTCGCACGTGCACGGTTGTGGCATGACCACCAAATCAGAAAGATATGGACACAAGATGTGTGCAAATGTATTTAGTATCCTATCCACGTGGACATGATTTAAGTGGGGGGGGGACCTAACCTCCTCTAGGGGGGTCCGGGCAGGGATCTATGGATACATCTCTCAACATCCATATGAAACAGAACTATAAACAGATTTTCTTTTTCTTTATGGATATTTTACAAATCACTCCCCTTTCAAACTTTATTCTTGTTTTATTAATAACAACTTTTTTTTACTGTCATATAGTATTTTATACCCGTTTACTTTATTCTCTTATTTTTTTAGAACTATAATGATCATATAAAGATGTGCCTTTACCTCACTGGTTGTAGAAAAAGCTTCTTATATTCGTTAGCATAGCTAGCTAACCAGATGCTAATAACAACAAAGTTATTGACTGTATGATCAGTATGACAGATGAACAGATCGCCACTGGGCTTACAACAACACTGCCACGCAAAAACTGCGGCATGTGTACGGCTCCTTATGGGTACTGCAATTGTTGAAGTGCCGGAGCCGCGTTCTGGTGCTCTCCGTCAGAACTGCACCCCTGTCAGACCAGACATATACCACGTGATGACATGTTTGGGCTCGTGTTGTGTTCAAGGACACTGACTGTGGCCAGGAAAAACAGGCACTCGCTTGTCTAAATCTTTTGCGGTCTAGATTTCTTTAATTTTTAATTTTTTGCGTGTGTTTATAAATTACCTCAAGGGCCGTACCAAATGGTCTTCCGGGGGAGGTTCCCCACCCCTGCTTTAGTTGAAGCCACCAAACTCCATTGACGAAAACAGTTATTTAAAGTTGCAGTACACCCAAGTTGCTGTTTTACTGCTGACTCGACCTCCATTCACTGAGCTCCATGTCAGACAGCTAAACAGATCAAATGAAGCGCACACTTAAACTGATTTTAAGGTGGGCCTTTCTTTTAGGTGGCTAACATATGTGGTGCTGCTGCTCCAGAACACTGCCGAGCTTCAATGCTATAACTTCTCTAAACTGGGGGCATGCCATTTAGTGCAGGGAAGATTGTACAGTTGGTTAAACACACTCTTTTTGTATAAAAGTAGTCATGTGATTACTTGTCTATGTAAAAATATGGATTCTTGCCACTTTAAAAAGTTACATCCGAAGGCAGACTTACCTTTGCGAGGTCCACCAAGGTGTTGGCCTGATCATTGAGTTTCCGTTGCTCCATCTTCACACTGCGCAGTCTTGTAAAGGCAAAGGGAGGTGGGAACAGGAGGAAGAGGGAAAGAAGGAGGTGGAGAAAGGAGAAAGAGGTGGAGGCAAAGAAAGGAGTGGTGGGGGAATAAGGGAATAGATAGTAGAGAGAGACAGATTGTTTGGGGGGGATGAGGGAAAGAGGAAGGAGGAGGAGGAACACAGTTTTTATCAGTGTGCTCTCTGGGTGATGACATTGAAAATAGAGAGGACTGCCTGCATGCATCTTAAATATATGTACTTCACTGTATTCATACATATATAAAGATATGTATATGTATACACAAGCATTCCTGGTCTTGGTCAATGCAATACCAACCAAAACATGCAAAATTGCGGAAGCATACTACACTGATTTGATTAAAAAAAATAAAGACCACCATGTTCATCTGTTTAACAATGCTTCAAGTCGCACATTTTTATCTTAAACATCGAAATATTGAGAGATGATCTTGTTATTGTCAATAAGAGGGGAAAAAACCCATTAATTTAAAATCAGAACATGATGGGTTGTTATTCTTTTTTTTTGTTGCAAAAATGCAATATGCTTCCATACAAGAAAATCCCCAAATCAGTTTGAAATCAAAACATTCTCATCTTTTCAACCCAAAAGTAAGACATTGAAAAAGGAAAAAGATGACATGCCCCTTGTCAGTGCTACACACAGCTCGGTGGTAGGACTTCATATATACACACTGGTCATTCAGTAAGCAGGCAGTGACTGTGAGTGACTTTGTGCACAATGAAATGCCAGTCTTTCGGTGTGTGTGTGTTCATGGGTTGATGTGTGTATTTGTGTCGATGCCACACATAAAAGATGGAGCTTGCCAAAAATAAAACTGTCTAATGACACTGCCAAACGTACCGCAACATGGACATTTCAAATAACTTGTGCAATGATACATCGGACATGTTTTGCGATGCCTTCTACATTGTGCCTCTTTATCTCTAATCAAATACATTAAGGCCCCGTAAGAACTGTTAGCGCTGATGCGGATAATGTGTCATTGTTAGCGGTGGCATCACACAGTCATCATTTGGACGTGAGTGAGGACGAATTTCCCTGTTCGGCAAATTACGAGACAGGATGACATTCAAGGGCATTTATTCATGTGCAAATCAGTATATCAGAGCAGAGTGAGACTGCTCGCTCGCGGCTCCATCTCTGTGGGAAGCCGTTTCAGCTGGTGTGAGTCTGTTTGCTCCGCTTTGTTTTCCCTTATGGATGTCGAAGAATAGGGGCTACAAGCTAAAAGCACTACTTATCATCGTGTAATGCATAAAGAGTACAATTTGATTCCAGAAAACCACAACCTACGTGATGTGCCTTGTCTTTTTGTGCTGTATCATCACTGTCTTAAGAGCCATGGCATTTTATGACAAATAAGAAATGAAAGCCAAAGTTAAAGGGGCCCTATTATGCTAATTCTCATTTTTGTATTTAGTGCCTCTACTGCGACTTGTTTACATGCTTAAATGTTCAAAAAGGTCTTTATTTTTCTCATACTGCCTGTGCTGCAGCGCCTATTTTCACCCTCTGTCTGAAACTAGAGCCCAGTCTGGCTAGCTTAGAGATGTCCCACCCCTTTAGCCCTAGCCAATAGGAGTGCAAGTGTTACGTAGTGATGTCACTATGTCCAGGAAGTAGACAAAGGAATCCAATCAAGGCGTTTCAGGCAGGGCGTGTGCGTGGGAGACTCCCTCTACAGAGAAGTTTGGGATTTTAGCCTTTGCAGACCATTTAAATGCACACAAACCTCTTTGATATTATTAAATCAGCAAACATAAAAACCTAATCAAAAGGATGTTATATGACAGGGTGTGATTTTGTCAGTGTGTGTGTTCATCACAAAGACATCAGTTGTGTAGGATGAGTTCTGTTGATGCAGGTTAATATAGCCTCCAGAGCAGCTATATTAATCATGGGCAACATAGTACAGTACACCGTAGATGATTATGAACCGCTGACCAACAAAGCTCCAAGCTCATTCTGTGCAAGATGTTTCTTTCTTTCACACGTTCTCTCCACACAATCCTCCACTATCGACATCGGTGGCAAAATGTTGATGCTTTTTTTTTTACATTCCATTCAAAAGGGAAGATGGGAGGGAGAGGGAAGTAGATGGAACACTGAAGTAAAGAAAAAAACTAAAACTATTTTTCTATTTTTTTTGGTAGCAAATGCTTTTCTTCATGCATGTCAAACGCAAACATGGAGAGAGGAGGAGGATGTTGAGGAAACAGTAGGAGGAGGATACATAGAAGACTCAACTTACTTCTGAGCTCTGCAGTGATAGAGCAAAACAAAGACAGAACACAGTACAGAGTTTAACCCCACGACATTCACGAAACGAGTGAAACCATTACACTTCTCACTGTAAGCACAGGGTAAAAGGGGGTTGGAGGGAGAGGGAGACAGGGAGGGGGATAGGAAGGACCATTACACTAGATTGCAGTGTGTGGACTTGTGTGTATGAGTTAACATGTGTGTGAGCAACACAATCAAAGGGAATTGTACACTAGAAATGTTATCAGCTATGACTAATCTCACAAGTTTATAAGCAACACAACTATTAATAATACAGTGTAAATGTTATGTTCCACAAATCACATCTTAAGAACAATTTTCACTGAAATACTGTCGTCCTTTGGGCATGCTGAGTGATTCCCCTCGGTTGCTCTTGGGGAAAAAAATCATCATATTTCTGTCAAACATTTTTACGACACATTAGATTACACAAAGCAAATTCAGAGCAGGACTTACTGGTGAATGGCTTGGAGAAACTTGCGCTGGTGTTTCCGCACCTTGGCATGATCTATCTTCTTGACCAACTTAGTGTGTTTGTAGATGAGCCATGTTTCCCTGAGTACATTGGCAGCTGTGTTCTTTACCTGAGGAGCAACGTGAGAAAGACATACAATGTACAGTAGCTTCAAGTCTACAAATTCAGATTTGAAACTCAGGCATACGTGATAAATAGTAGCAAGAAGTTACATTTACTTTATTTCTAAAACCTGAGTTACAAGCTATGTATTTATAACAAATCAACCAGAGTTACAAGGATTACAAAGCTAGGAGAAGAAACATCAACATAAAACCACAAGGTAAATAACAACAAAAGGCTTTTTAAAATGCTACTATTCAGGAGGGATTTGATGTTTAAAAATGTGACAAAGAGTCAGTTGATGTTACTGAGAGGAACTTTACATTTTTGACTACTTACAACATTCAGATTAGTATCAACACAGGAGATTGTTCAGATAGTATCATGAGGACAAAGTGTCAACTGGGAGTCAGAACCCTAAAGGGATCTATAAATATAAAAAGTCATAGGATAATTAGCAGAATAAGAGAGACAACATTTTTTATTTTTGCTACTTACTTGTCTTGTTCTAACCTTCAGAATCAGTTATTTTCTTTTGTATTTCGACAGTGTTTATCATTTGACTTCTGAATAGGGTTTAGAAAACGTTACTACTGCAGAACTCTGCGTCTGGGGTGTGGATCTAAATATACATGCCTGCAGATCTAATTTTAGTCTCGCTGTAGTCAACATTCAAATGACAGTCCTAAATGAAATGGGAAGAAACCCTTGATATTTAATCAAAATAACTAGAATGCGGTGGCATGCAGTGACTCACTCGTTTGCAGAGTTGTGTGTCCATCATGAAGTTGTGGACGTGTTTCTCAGCCTTGGTCAGCTCCAGCTTCCTGGCTACCACGGCAACCACCAGTGCAGTGCAACCAGCTCCCTGTTCACAAACACACGGACAAACAAACACAGCAACAACAACATTTTGTTTGTGAGCTTTTTAAAATGAAACTTCACTACATTGATAAAGAACAGAAAGGACCAGTAAAGTAACATTACAAAACAGTTTAAGTCATTAAACGTATTTAACCATGAAGTTACATTTGGTAATGCCCCTAAAACTCTATTGAAACACTAGATTAAAGAACAGTGAAACTGAGATTTTTTTTTATATAAACAACTTTTTGGGCACTTTTTCTTTGGACAGAAATGTATGGTATTCAGCAGGACGAAATATACCTATATATATACGAAAAAGAACTGGACTTTGTAATAAAGGCAAGTACGCAGGTGATTTAATAGATTGTAAAGGACTCAAGCTACTGCAAACTCATCAATCATATTTGATCTTCAAATATTTATCCACTCAACTCAATATTTGAATTTCTACAAAAGTCAACTTATTTAGTTAGGTTGCTTGTGCAGTATGTTCAGAGTGCAGCTTGCGGTTAGTTTTCAAATGTTCCTGTGAGAGTGTTAGATATGTATCTGTGTGAAGAAGAGAGGAACCCACCATAATCCCTGTAAGCAGACACACGCCTTTCCCACAGTACGTGTGTGGTACCATGTCACCGTAGCCGATGGAGAGGAAGGTAATCGAGATGAGCCACATGGCTCCCAGGAAGTTACTGGTCACTTCCTGTTTGTCATGATACCTGAAGGGATGAAGATAAGCAGAAGCGGGATACAAAAAGTGAGTAAAACCGCACACAGTTTCTTGAACGTGAGCATGCTGGAGAATAATGTGGTGCTGTGTGAACCAAACAGGTGGTGGAGGGGGTGAAGATTGAGGAAGAAGAGGAAAAAAATCATGGTGCAAGGTGTTACACCTGTTTTGTAAAGCCTAGAGTCTAAAAGAAAAGTCCATTCTGAGATTTAAAAAAAAGAAATGAGATCCAATGGATTTGCAGGATGTTTCTATTCTTCTTTGAGTAATTGAGAAACTTAAAAAGAGAAAGATGTTTGATGCGTAAGAAACTTTAACTGACATTTTGGGCAAACAAAAGAAAAATTGTCGATGTTTTTGAGAGAGCAACATCACTGAGCATGTTTCATGTTCAGTGTCTGTCAATTTGAAAAGAATAACCATTTGCTGAGAGGAATGATATGAAGGTGCATTCAATAATGAGTTTGAGGCCAAATCACTTACTCTTGTCGTACATTTGCATAGAAATGACCATTTTAGACAACATGTTTCAAATGACAAACAGACGGGCCATGTCGCTGTGAGTGACTGGATAAAGAGCGCCGCAGGTCAAACTGGATTTGAATTAGACAACTCAACAAATGTAATGTCAGAGCAACCAAAAATGCACATTCAGCTGCATTAAATCAAACCAATAATTGGCTTATTGGTCACGGTTTGCTGCAGCTCTTCCTCCGTAGAGTTTACGCTGCCTGAAAAAAAAGGTTTGGCAACGCAAATCATCACTTCAAACATGTTGTTTGCTGAAAATAGCTGACAGCGATGCTTGAATTGTCAGTCCAAAGGCCCACAGTGCATAAGCAAAGATATGTCTGTAAAAAAACACACACTGTACAAAGCCGGATTGATGATGACATTCCCATACCTTTTGCAACAAGACAAAAGTCCATCTGCCTCATTCCCTCCCCCCCCCCCCCCCCCCCCCCCCTTTTTTGTAGAAGCTTTTCTAAAGGGTATTCTGACCGAGCCAATCGTGAATTGCTAACATCGAACTATCCAGCGGTGTCTCAGCATGTGGACTCAAAATGGCCAGAACAATCCGCTCTAATTAGAGATTGGAGCACTTTTCGATGAGTCCCTTAAGTTTTCTTTTCCAAACGAAGGCAACTGCCCGATCCTCTTTCTCCTCCAAGACATCCTATTGTTATCACATATCAAACTAATCATGCCTTCTGCAGGTTTTTAAACACCCTCTATCACAGGTGTCTCTTCATGCTCAAAGTCAGGAGAAAAAGAAGAAGCTGTGAGCACCTTTCCCCCCCTTCAAAATGACAAAAAGTGTGCGGTCTGTGGGATTCAAGCTCCCTAAATGACATGCAGAGAAGCAGTCTGTGCAAAACCATGCAGGAATAAAAAAGATGTCTGCATCCTGCATGCTTCAAAACCAGTATATTGAGAGCAGGGGAGCAGTGGGAAAAACATAGGGTCCATTTAGAGATGGAAAAACAACCTCTGACAAATACTGCAGTATCACCAGGTGGAGGGGGGTTGTACTGCTTTGTGAACGGGGGCTCATTTGTAAACAGTGGGGTAGGATCGGATGAGTAACAAGGGAAGAAGCTCATTGAATTTGACACCCCTGTCTCTTTTACCTGCATCCCAACACTTCGCCAGCTGCCCTTTGATAGCTGCCAGGGGGCTAAGCTTGATCAGCTAGCTAAATATTGTAATTGCAAGTGACTAGTATGTTAATTTCATTCATCTTGTCATCAAGGGGAGCCGAGAGTGAGTGATGTCTTAGAGGCAAGCAAGGAATGTGCAATATACATGTAGTAGTTAACAATGCATTATAGTGCAAAAAAGCAGAAGGTTGTTTTTTGTATAATAAAACATTTTAGATTTAGACTGTTTAATAATCTGTTTTTCTAATGGTGGAAAAACGTTTCCAACGAGCATATCTCAATCATTCTCGTCTCAGAAACAGCCGTAAGGGAATAGAGACAGAGGCTGAATGGGGAGCTGATCGATAGCGTTTTAAGGCTCTCAATATACCGTGTCAAGTTTTGGAATAGCATGGAGAAGAGCTGGCACATCTGTTAGGAGAAATACCAACGAGGGGTTAAATTGGGATTTGATATGTGGGGGGGGGCTCTGTTTGAAGGTGCGACGGGAGGGGGGGGGGGGGGGGTGTCGGACGTCAGCGAACCAGGCCGTTCTGTGAGCCCACCGGGATAAGTCCCGACCCTCCCCTGACTGCACGTCGCTGACACACACTGCTGCAGATTCTCTGCACGGAGGAGCCGCGGAGTCCGGGCGATGCTGCTCCTCCAAGGAAGAGACACACGTTCACTAAACGAAAAACTATATCCGGTCACAGTGATCTGCTATTTTAAAGTATTGTCAACACATATCGACCCTAAATATAGTATATATTAAAGGTCCCATGTCATGATTTTCCGGTTATTACCCGTCCCCTTGTGTGTTATGAAGCTTTTTCTGCATGTAAACGGTCTGCAGAGTCACAAACCCTCAAAGTACACCCTGTAGCGAATAAAACTCTAACACAGAAAAGACTGTCTATGCTGCCCCAGAACGCCTCGTTGGAGATTTCTCTTTTTCCATAGTTTTCTTCCTGGGTACAGTGACGTGCCCATACCCAAATGGACCAATCCGTGGAGCTCCTCACACACACACACACTCTGCAGCTGCGAAACTGTGACGTGCTGGGGGGTGCTGGTGGAGCCTCGCAGATGGGGGTGCTGCAGCAACAAGACTTGCACTTCAATGAGTGCAAGTCTTGTTGAAATAAATGAATTTGAACACTGGCTGAGATTATTCGGGGACAAATGTGTTGGGATGCTCCTCGGGGAGCGTGTTAGTTGCAGTAAACATGAACACATTATACTTAAAGTGATGATGATCTAATTAAAAAAACTGCAAACCTAACAGTGCTTTTACAGCGCAGCCAATATGCAAAGCAAGTAAAAAACAAGCAAGCAGCAGCAAAATCAAACTCGTGATTTTATGATATGTGCATTTTAAAGCTTCGAAGTAAAAAGAAAGTAGCAGCGCAACTTAGTAAAACTAAGCTAAGTCAAAAGAAGTTTCACCTAAATATATTGTTGTTAATGCGTAAACTGCAGAACACTTAAGATACAAAAAGTTTGGCATTTTAGCACAATAAGTTCTGATGGCAATGTCTGTCTGTGTATCTTCTAAAATACAATTTCTTGGAGGGATTCACAGACGTGCAGACGTTCCTGGTCCCCAGAGAATTTATCTTAATAACTTTGGTGATCATCCAACTTTTCCTTTAGTGCCACTATGCTTTTAATTAAAATGCTTGGGCAACTGTTGGAGTGATTGCCATGAAATTCAGATCAGAAATTCATGTCCTTCATACAATGAATTGTTATAACTTGGTAACTTTTTTTCCAGTCAAATCACTTTGGGTTTACGACTTAATATCCACAAAACCAAGGACAGTCCCAATCAGCCTCAGCTGTCTTTACTGCTCATTAGAAAATGTCAGCATGCTAAACTAAGAGGGTCAACATGGTTAACGTTAACCCTGCCAAACATCAGCATTAACATTGTCACTGTTAGCATGCAGTCTTTAGCATTTAGCTCAAAGCACCACTGTGCCGAAGTACTCCAAGTTTTACACACATTTGAACTCTTCCGGTGTTGGCTGTAAAGTGTACAGTGAAAGAATCTGAAAGTGGTCCTATTCTGCTCAATTTCAGGTTTCATATTTGTATTTTGTGCATGAACTATGACATGTTTCCATGCCGTAATGTGCAAGAAGTTATTTATTTTCTCATACTGCCTGTGCTGCAGCACCTCTTTTCACCCTCTGTCTGAAACCAGAGCCCAGTCTGCTCTGATTGGTTAGCTGGCCGGCTCTGTTGTGATTGGTCAACCACTTAGAGATGTCCCACCCCTTAGCCTATCATATACAAAGGTTTGGAGTGCTAGCCAATAGAAACACAAGTGTTACATAGCTTATGATTAAGATAGACTTGATTAGCCTTTGTGCCGTATATTAGTCGCGGGGAATGAAATGATTTTGTTGCACCAACAGCAATACCATAGCACTCTAATAATAAATTATACATAATGTATTGCTGTCAACCAATTAAATTGTGAACCCAAAAGTAAAGACCTGCTTGGATTAGCTGACTTGCAGGCTTCAGGCGTCCGTTGCCAGAAATGATCAAGTATATGAGTTTGTGAATCTCATCCATTTGAAAGATGCTGGATAATAACATTGTGAGAGTCTGATACAGCGATATAACTAGTGAGATTTCCTGCAAGTCATCCTTTTATAAACTAAAACAATGTAGTCCATCAAGGAAAAATGTGTCTTTCTTGGCCCATGCTACACCCATTCCACCAAAGTTTCATGAAAACCGGGTCAGTAGTTTCTCCGTTATCTTGATGACAAACAAACAAACCCAACACAAAAAACACCTTGGAAGAGTAAAAGACGGGTAACATAACCCGTTGAAACAGTCATGAGTTACTAACCTTGTAAACTTTCTCTACTAAGCTGAGCACAAGTCAGGCCTTTTCGGTCCATCTTAACCTTAAGGGCCACTAGATGGGAAGCTCCGTTCACAATCCCTTAATCTCAACGTTTTCAGGGCTGGAAGGTGGCGTGTGTCTCTAAAGTAACAAGATAGGGAGTGTCCTATTACAGATGTTTCATTAGGCTGGAGACACATCTGAAAAAACTCAGAGTTCTGGTATCCCAGTCCATGTAAATAAGTTCTTAGCAGTCCTCCTGTAATCTTTATAAAAAAGGAACTTTGCTCCTAGTGTTTAAGTTGACTTTGCTGCAAACTGTGTATGCAACCTTCAGGGGACACGGTGAGCTTTGAAACCACCACTCCACCTCCACTGAAATACAGCTCAGCGTTTTCTTTCATGTTCCAGTCCTCCCAATGCGTTCAGCAAAATACCTGATCTGCTGAGCTTCTGCCCACAACACCCAGTTTTGCATAAAGG